AGGTTTAAAAAAAAAATAAATTATATCCTCAGCATAAGCATAAACTTTATTTCTCTAAATCAATGACTATATACCGTATATCACTTTTACAATGAAACGCATAGTATATGTTTCGATAAATATTCGATAAATGGAAGATCTAGATATTCTGAAACATGTTTATAGGCAATGTGCAGTAAATCTCTCTCTCTCTCTCTCTCTCTCTCGTATTATTATTTGTGTTTTTTTAAATCGGCAAAATTCACTTTAAACTGCAGCGCATTTCCGCTTGAAAGCATACTTGTAAGTACGAACAATGTTCATGAGAAAAGCGTGTTAAATGAAAACACTGAGTAGTAGAAATATTTGTAAGCAGTTTAAAGTGTTACTTAAAGAACTCTTAATGTGCAAATAAAATAAGAGAAAAATAAAAAAAAAAAAAAATCCGCATAATAATAGTATACAGATGAAACGGGGTGTTTTGTTGTGCATACCGTTGTGCATAATAAATTGATATATCGTCCTTTTGCTATACATGCATACATATGTAAAAGAATTAATATTATTTCTACCATTTTACCTCTATAGCCACCCCTGTCAACGTATGGGATTAACTACGCAATGAAATACATGTACATGTAGCTTGTCGTAATTTTTGAGGGACATGTACACAGTACATGTAGGACAGCGTTAACATTCCTATTTTTTTGTATTTGTAGAAGACCAAGCATATACAGGGAAAGTCATTAAGATCAGTCTTTTTTTGTGAATCCAAATGTAATTGTTATTGAAACATACAACCTTATGTTTAAAAAAATATGAAGTTCATGCAGACGGCACTAAGGAATCGGGGGGGGGGGGGGATTATAATCATGATAATCCACCCGGTTTATGAGTTTATATTTTAAAACTGTGAAAATGTTGCGAAAATCCAAATCCTTTGTCTTTCACAAAGGTGTGAAATTATACCCAGTACAGCATGTACAGTGTCACTGTGAGACAGGAAATCCCTCTCCGCTTGACCGCGCACAATACACAGGAATCCACCAGTTACTAAGGAGACCACGATTAGTCCGTGCAGCTACATGTACACTGTGTATACATGTACTAGATTGATCGAGGACAAAAAATTACTTACCAATGCAAAATGCGCAAAAAATGTTGTTCCGATATTGTTTGTGGTGTTAATGAATTTCTTTTTCAGTAATTTTTTATTTACGCGATGTAAACAATGGTAAATAGTCCTTGATAGAATTTTGCAGGAATAAGCTTGGTAGTTTTTTTTGCACTGTTTTCGTTGAATTTTCATACATGAATACATTATTTTCAAAATCAACTTAGGCCTTAGCTATTTTCTAAATCAATTCATCTACTGATATTGGGAAAATAACCCCCCATCCAAAGTTGTGATTGTGCTGAGTTTTGTGTAAGACACATTAAGTGTCCCAGTAAATAAAGGGAGAAGGGGGGGGGGGTGATTGTTATATCAAAATTAACTTTTTACACGAAAGTAATCATGGTAATCTGCATATCTTAAATTTAAATAATTAATTCAAATATGTTTTAAATTATATGATCAATGTAAATGTCATTGTGAAGTATGTTAAACATGTATGACAGATGAATTTTACTGACCCGTTTTCGGGCACGCACGTGTACACCAGGGGTAGGGCTGGTGCAGGGGAACGCACCTTGTCCAGTGTACAGCTGTGAGGACCAAGTATGCGTACCAGGTCTAACTCTAGACAGTATGTAATTTTACTTTATCTTCTACGGATTGGTAGGCCATCAAATTACACACGCATACACACCCTACTGATTTCAAGAACATTGCCCCAGAATAAAGGAATGACACTTAACAGACGACTCGGAGAATGCTGATTACATAAAAATCTTCTGCGTATTATACTCCTATATTTGAAGATTAATAATTTTAAAACACTTTCATCATTTATAGCCCCAATGAAAGTGACACTGCGATGAATCGCGCGCGTTTCTTTAATCAATCTACTATTTAAAAAAAACGCTATGAAAAATAAAAATTAATATTGAATATCATGAATAACACACGGGGTGTTTTATCTTGCATTGTCGTATAAATATATCACATACAGTAATTTATATCGAAAGTTGTGGATCTAAATAGAATGAACACATATTAAAAAAGTGATTCAAGAATTAGTAAACGCTGTTTGAAAATTGCTTTGATGATTTTTATAATTATTTAGATAAATGAGGGTGTATTTCTTTGAAAAATTAATTTTTATTTTGTACTTCAAATATTTCAGTTCTATAAATTTTAAAATGTCATTAATTTCGTTTTATTTTGTTAAATGGTTGATATTTTCAAAGGGAGGTAACTCGAGTTTTAGACCAAGACTGTTTCTCACCTGTAATCGCTAAGATGCACCGCGACGGTGTGATTTACCTGGATTACTGAACCGCGGGGGCACGCGGTTTTTACCGGAGACACCAGTACTAACCGCGATGAGATTCACACCGCGGGGGTGCGCGGTAAATGCCTAAACCGCGTTGACTGTACTGTAGATATATCCAGAACTTAAAACCAGGCATAATTCTCAGATATAACACAGATTCTTCTGAGTGAGTCCCAGAAATAAACTGTGGGGGCATATGTGTCCGCTCAGAGCCTTGATTCGACAAATGCTAAAATTTCCCTGTGGAAACCAGTTTGCCTAGAAGCACTGCAATGGTTGTGCAAATTTAACTATAATAAATGGCCTTGAGATTGGAAATATTAGATACCTTATTAGAACTAAGTGCTGTCAAGTTTTGCTGTTAGAATCTCACCCTGCAATCTGACATCTGAGAAAGATACTGTGAGATTAAATGAGATCTAGCATTGTCTTTAAAAAGAGCAGATAAATTGTCATACAATTCATCAAACATAGAGACCAGTGTAAGGCCTAATCATTTATTTAGGACTTTCTCCAATGGCAGACATTTTGATGAGGGTTTTATATTGTAGTATAATGATCGAGTAACCACACAGTTTAATACCAGTAATTCAGCACGGAGCAAAAATGACATTTCATTCTGCAATTGACGTCAATGGTCATGCATCAGTGACTCTGGGTATTACACCACTGGGTTGCGCTGGATGGTATTTGCAATTATAGACTGCCGTCAAGGTTTTTTTTTTTCTAACCAGTGCTGAGAAAAGGCTTCATTATGATTTTTATCTGATTATATCATGACTTTAGCTGTTCCCTCAAAACCTATTTAATTCTGTCCATTGTCAATCATCCAATAGTGAAAGTTTCGATGAGAAATTTATTTGAATCTGTCAGATATATATATATTTATTAGGAGCACCTATGAACAAAGAAAAAAGTCAAACTTATTATGCATAGTGATAGTTTACTAAATTTTGCACATCTGTAGCTGCTACAAAAGTTGAACTGTCTTACAGTCTTGTTTGTATGAGGTTTTTTCCCAACATAAATTGAATACTTTTGGATGCTTCTGTTTAGAGAAGATGAAGGGTTTAATCTGATTGTGGTAGAGAATTGAAAGAGGGCCAGGGATAGAGTTATTGTCTGACCTTCCAATTAAAAACAACTATCTGAGGAGGGGAAAAAGTGTAATTGTCTTACATAACAAAAATTAATTTTCCGTTACACTATTGTGTAATTCGTTCTTTTTTTGTCCGTTTTAAACGACTCTGCTATTTTCTGCTTTGGATAGCATTTCGGTATTCTGTACACATTTTAGAAGAAGAGAAATGGAAGTATAATTAGATGGCTTGTCTGGCAAAGATTTTTTGCTGCGTTATTTTAGCACTGAGGTCATGTCAGAGAAATCGCAGGAAGTGGGCACTGACGTCAGTACGAATATGATGCTTTAGATACAGGGTGGTGATCGCACAGGATTGTAATTGGACAAGGCTGGCTTAGTTCCTCATTGGGTACCAGTCGTAATTTTGTGGTCGTTATTATGTAATAACACTTAGTTTTGCTTGATTAGGTAATGGTTTAGTAAGAGAAAGTCAATGAAATATTACAGTGATAGGAATCTTATAGCCGGGCATTAGTGAAGCTTGATCAAGCATATTGAATGGCAGTAAATGTTTCTGACGTGAATCTACTCTGACCAACATAATTCTAGTAATTAGATAAAATGGTCGTGTTACAGAATTATTTACGTCTGAACAAAAGATCCGAAATTGTCGTAATCAACAGAATATGAAGTACAAGAAGGGTACATACAGTATTATGTAATAAAAAAAAATCATGTATTTGATTATTAACTTAAGTTTGTAATTTAGTAAAAAATCAGTAATTTAAAACTTAATTTGTGTACTTAAAATCTACATTTGATCGTTTAAAGTATATTCTCTCTCTCTCTCTCTCTCCCCCCCCCCCCCCCTTTAAAGTAAAATTTCAAAAATCTCTTGAAAGTTCTAGTTATACAGTGTTTTCCCTACAAACCGGCTACCGGCCAAATTGACCGCTTCAATTAACAAAAATGCCGTTTTGAAATAAAAATTTGTTGTAAGGTCCACAGTGATTTTGTTCATAAGCATCAGCCCTAAGCCTGTTTCAACTGATCTCTAACCCTTTACTTTGAAATAAAGGGAAAACACTGAGTTATAACTTAAGAAAAAAATTGACTTAATATTCTTAAGTCCAAAGTTGCTTGTCTATTGTGAAATAATTTTTCAAACAGAGAAAACATAAAAAGATTTTAAAATGATTATACTACTAGGTACATGTATAGGGTTGCTTGGAAAATAACTGTGTAGCAACAATCAACTAGATAAGTTTCAATTTACTGGTACCAAAAAACAAAAAAAAAAGACCATGGTATTTGTAGTATTTTTTTTAGATTGTAGAGTTCTTTTTTTATGTCTTTAATTTAATGCTCTTTCTTTAGTGGGCCTGCAGGGGGGTATTGATCTTGTTAGGACACTGAATAATCGATCAGTCCAATTGTTATTCAGAACTGACTTATTACACTATCTAATGTATGTTCAGAACTTTTTACTTTATTACTTTCAGATTGACTTTTTGCGCTATCCAAATAAGGTAAAGCTGGTTTTTAGTCTGCCTGCTTTATATACAACACTAGCGCTTTAGTTAGTGGTGGTCCCTTCATATTTCATGTTCGACCTCCTAACACGTTGTGTGTGATGTTCAATTTTTGTGTTGTAACAGCACTGACACCTGTATTTTAAACGTGAACATAACCACACATAACAATTTATCATTCACACAACAACCAATAAACAATCAAGCATGAATATTAATGAACATATCTAGGTTAGACCAAAAAAATTATATTAAAACCAACGTTAATATTTTTGTATTGAAATTTATGATAATATGAATGTCTTTGTTGTACGTTGTAGTAGAAGTTTTTTGGTAATATTGCTTTGTTTTCTGTATCCTTATTTTTATGTAATTATTTATGTGCAATTTGTGTCAAATTTATTCTACTTTTAATTGATTTTCCCCATTTCTGAATTACCATGCATAGCTACAATAAATTATCTTATGCTGTTATCATAAAAATTTTAATGTTTACAGAACCGAATTTCAAATATTCATTGGAAAGAATGTAGATGTTTTTAGAGGAAGCTATTCATTGGTGGAGAACCTAGGTGTTCCATTTACATTAATTTTTTAACCTAGAAGTGTTATATTGCTGAGATTTTAAATTACGTTTTATTTAGCTAGAAACAACTCTTCTCTTGATCAACATTTAATTCAAAAACTAAGTCCTAGGTGTGTTTGTAATTTCCAGGCATTATATATATGTATCCAATACTAGTATATACAATTATGTACATTTTCAATACATGTAGTTTAGCAATCATGATTTTTCATGTCCCGTTATCAAGATTTGGAAATTACAGTTTTTGCTCTGTCTGTCTGTCCATCTGTCTGTTTGTCCACAAAAACTTTAAAGTTGCCCAAAACTTTTGATTAGTTAGAGCTTAAGGCTGTCACATTTGAAAGTTTCATCATTCAGCATAATGTGAATACATATTTTCTGCTGAAATTTGTCAGTTTTTGAATTGCATTTAAGAAATTTATTATGACATTTTTAAAAATCTTGTCAGGGATTAAAAAGAAATATTTTGAATAATCCATATGATGGAGTAAGCTGCTAATTTTGATAGGCAAGTTTAAATTAAAAATCTCAAATGTGAAATTACCCTTCATTGAATGTGTTTACTAAAGATTTTGAATAGAATGAAAGAAGATAACTGAAAATCAATTTCTTGAAGGATTAAGTTACCATATGTTTAGCCTTATTATGCATCATTGCACCAACATTTACATAATTATTTTTTGTGTGACACCCTTTTTTTTTCATTCTTTAATGAAATTGATATATTTCTTATCCTCCTAGCTGTCCTTTTTTCACATATGAATTAGTAATTAGGTGAATCAATAAGATATTTATTATTCAAATCATTTTTTTATTTTTCATGATTGTCTTAATTTTGACATGCACAATGATACTTCATAGATAATATTTTATCTATTTAAGTACAATCATTTGTACTGCCATCTGTAAACAAAGTCCAGAGTTCAAACTTGAGATCATGATTTCAATTAAAAGCCCTGATTGATTTAATTGGTAGGAATATTGGAATTCAGACATAAAGAAATTCGGGATAGGGACCGTACCATTCTACGTTTTTTTTAATAGTAGTAGGTCTTGTCAGACCCGTAGTCATTATATTCTTAAATTTCTTTTATAAAAGATGAATTAGTTGACCCAATTAGTTTCAAAGGGAGACCCTGATAAATTGAGTATGGAGGATAATATATTCTAGGTTTGTTGTGCTGTTCAATAAGTGTGGCCTTTAGGGACGTCAGGAGCTGGTGTTGTCAGAGTTGACGAAGTGCCAGCCAAACACAATTCCCCGCGGAGGCCCAAGGACAACAATCACTCAAATCATACGTATTGATAGCCATACACTAATACTGGGAAAGTACTAGACCAGTCATACAGTAATACTGGGAAAGTACCAGGCCAGCCATACACTAATACTGGGAAAGTACCAGACCAGCCATACACTAATACTGGGAAAGTACCAGGCCAGCCATACACTAATACTGGGAAAGTACCAGGCCAGCCATACACTAATACTGGGAAAGTACCAGGCCAGCCATACACTAACACTGGGAAAGTACCAGGCCAGCCGTACACTAATACTGGGAAAGTACCAGGCCAGCCATACACTAACACTGGGAAAGTACCAGGCCAGCTGTACACTAATACTGGGAAAGTACCATACTAGCTGTACACTAATACTGGGAAAGTACCAGGCCAGCCATACACTAACACTGGGAAAGTACCAGGCCAGCCATACACCAATACTGGGAAAGTACCTGGCCAACCATACACTAATACTGGGAAAGTACCTGGCCAACCATACACTAATACTGGGAGAGTACCATACTAGTTGTACACTAATACTGGGAAAGTACCAGGCCATCCATACACTAATACTGGGAAAGTACCAGACCAGCCATACACTAATAATGGGAAAGTACCAGGTCAACCTTACACTAATACTGGGAAAATACCTGGCCATCCATACACTAATACTGGGAAAGTACCAGACCAGCCATACACTAATACTGGGAAAGTACCAGACCAGCCATACACTAATACTGGGACAGTAGCAGACCAGCCATATAATAATACTGGGAAAATGCCTGGCCAGCCATACACTAATACTGGGAAATTACCAGACCAGCCATATTCACTAATAATGTGTTACTGGTATTAGGAAGGCTCAAAAAGTACCAGACCAGCCATACACTAATAATGTGTTACTGGTATTAGGAAGGCTCAGAAAGTACCAGGCCAGCCTAACACTTATACTGGGTTTCTGGTATTAGGAAGGCTCAGAAAGTACCAGGCCAGCCATACACTAATACTGGGTTACTGGTATTAGGAAGGCTCAGAAAGTACCAGACCAGCCATACACTAATAATGTGTTACTGGTATTAGGAAGGCTCAGAAAGTACCAGGCCAGCCTAACACTAATACTGGGTTACTGGTATTAGGAGAACTCAAAAAGCACCATCCCACTCTATCGAACCCTAGCCCTGATACACATTACAGTCAGCATTACTTAGATTATGTATGTCTACTCTACATCTTCCTTATATATCTACATGGTTTTTCATCTTGGCAGTAGGATTTTAAAGCCTACAGCTAGGAACACTTATCATTGTCATTTTGACCCTAATTTGTTGTAGATGTCAGTCAGTTTGTCTGAAAATGAAGAAAAGTAATTCAAAAAGGATCTAGATAATATATTCAAAACATTTACATACATCAGCTATCTCAGATACTTTTGTTCTAGAATGCAACTTGTCGCCTACATATCTGGAAAGAGTCAAAATTTCCATTTTATGGATTAACCATAATGGACCCTCAAAGACACGAAACATATTTATATATGTGCTTGCACCTAAATTTTTTATCGTTTTGTTCAGTTTGTTTTTTTTTTTGGGTAAATCTAGAATAAGTTAAGCAGGGCATTAAACTACATTTTTTCTTTTTAATATTAAAGATACCATTTCTGTATTTCATTGAAAAACAAATTGCAAAACAGATGCAGACATAATTATTAGTACTATATAAAAGTAAAATTATTTGCGTGTTCTACAGCAGTATTTCAAATGAAATTTTAAGTAATTTTTGTATATTTATAATCTCATTTGATCTATAACTAATTAATAAAAAAAATAATTTAGGTTAGAATTAAATTTAGATAATGAAGAGTCATATGTCTTTTCTTTTGAAATAAAATCCAGAGATAGCACTTCAAGTTCAAGTTCTTTATTAACTTTGAGCATTATAGCTCATCGGTACAAACAAATACAAACATGACTGTACAGGTTTACAGGAGAATATGATTATTATGTACATATGAAACAAATGTATATATATATGACATGAAGATGAAATAATCATCACATTTTATATAATTAATGTTCATTTCCTGAAAAATTGAACTATATATCTTTGTTTCCCCTAATCGAATAAAAAAGACGGGGAAATGATTAATTTAAAATGAAAATTTATCAAGGCGACTTCAAATTTTATGGTCGTTAAAATAGTTATTTCCATTTCAATTGTTCCAGGTCATTAATAAAACTATATTTACATTTATTAGTACAGAAAGTTCTTGACCTACATTTAGAATTCATAGAAAGTAATCTTTGTAGTTCAAGTTCATTTTATTCACCCAGTAGAAGTGCATGACTCTGGCACTTAATTAATCTTGTCAGGCTTGTGATAATATGTAAGATAGGAAAGAAAGGAAAATGACATTTTGCTCACAAAGATAAACCAAATAAATATCATATGATATGGGAAAACAGAGTGTTTGTATGATTTTCTGGTTATCTTGCAGATTATATAATACAGACGATGTTATCCATCATACAATGTGTTTCAGTCAGATTTTATTATCCAATTGTTTCAAGAGTGAAGAATTCTAGTTAGCTAAAGGCATAAGATTGAGACATCGCCTTTGTTTTATGAAGAACTTCTTCTCTCTAATTACATCGGGGGGCTATTTTGTTTCCATCAAATGCTTGAAAATCACTGTAGAACAATGTTGGCCGTTCTAATAAAAACTGATTTTGATGAAACTGTATTTTATAAAACTTGGTTGACAATAAAAAAAAAATTGAATCATCGCATTTAAAAAATCTTCTCAGTCGGCGCGATTTAATTGGGTCGGTCGCGTTAGGGGAAACAAAGGTATTTTTTATTTTGGCCTTGGAGCACGATTATGACACTATGATTGACTTACAAGATTTAATTATTTATGATTTAATTTTTGTTTACCTCATTAAATTCTTTGTTATGTTTAAGGATGTCATGCTTTTCTATTTTTCCAAAATTGCCAAAATCAGAATAACTTACTTTCATCAATAAAAATTATCTCTGAAAAAAAAAAATCACACCTGGCTTTTAAAATGTTTCCAGAGTGTACGGTAGATACAAGAGGAACTAGGGAAAGTTTTGAAATAAAATCCCCCCTTTA